GGGGGTGGGGGGCAGGGGGTGGGTGTGATAGGGAGAGTGGGGGGTGTGAAGACCCCCCCACACGGTGCGCAGCCCCCGTCGATGGCAGCAACAACAGTCAGGGGTGCTCAGGGCACTGGCGCCCTGTGCAGCTGCTGGCACCCAGCTCCAGCCAGTGCTGTACGGGGGCGAGGAATGCAGCCTGTGGCACAAGGCCACCTCTGTCTCTCCCCAAAAACTCTGCTATGTGACAATTTGGTTAACATGGTCCCTGCAGAGGGCAGAAATCTCATCTCTGTAGGTAACTGTGAGCTGTAAGCCGAGTTATCAGTTCTTTCTTCAATTGACCGGCCACTCTAGTGACTGCCGGGCAGCTCTGCGTTTCTTAGAGATGGGCAACAAGGTGTCCCACTAAAACCATACGTGACTGCAGGACAGCCCTAATGAAGTGGCATCCAACCTGGAAAGTTCTACCAACGAAAAGCACCTAGAAAATATGTAGACTGAGCTCCATGTAGTTACTCTGCAGATTTCAGGAAAAGGAACTGTATACAGACAAGACTGCCTAACCTCTAGTGGAAAAGACTCTCATACAGCAACATGGAGCTAACAAGTTTAATCCAAAACATTGTCAAAAACTGAACAACCCCCGAGATAATCTCTAAGAGAACACTATTCATTCTTACCTTCTCCACAAAGTCCATACATTGTTTAGACACATTTCTACATTGTGTTTCCAGCCGACACAGAAAGATAGTGCCTTTGTACATCAAGTGCATGAAGTTTAACATCCTCTAAGGCTTGGGGAAGTAGACCGGGAGGTGAATAAATTACTTGTAAGGAACTCGGATCTAACTTTGGACAGACGCTTGGGAAAAGGCCGAGAATAACCCCATCCTGATAAAAATTATTAATATTAAATAATAATGATTAAAACTGGAGAAAGCTAGTCCCAGTTCAAGTATTTTAGGAGCACTGCCTGGAGGCTGCTATGCTTTATGTACAAGAGCAGTCAGCTTTTTCTGATCCTTCTCCACATTATTTTACAAAGCCTTTTGACTTTTGTTGAACTGATATAATTAGAGGCCTTAAGACTGAGTGAGAATAGAAGTTTTAAAATTACTTGGAAGGGACTTGGTACCTCTTATCTGGGCACTTGCATGTAGCCAGAACCAACGGTGCAGCCTGACTCAGACCAACAAGGAACCTGTGAAGACCTACCAGGTATGGAAGGGTGCAAAAAGTCCAGACTATGAGCCACTTCCTTTGCACCACCACTAACAGCTTGTCAAGACACTGTCGTGTCTGAGGTGGTCTTGGAATGCCCTGCAGAAGACTCGGAAGTGTTCACTGGTTCATCAGGGCTGCATCGGGAAGTTGCAGTCAGGATGAATAGTTTGCCCTTAACTGCCTAATCTTTGCTGCTCTCCTCTTCCTCTCTCTCTAGTATCTGTGGCTGCAGCTAAGTGACCTGGCTGTTCAGGAGAAAAAGAGCTAGTTTTGCAACGAAAGCAGTGGCTATTGCAGGGGTGGGCAAAATACAGCCCGTGGGCCGGAGGCCATTCTATCTGGCCCACAGGGCCCCTAATAAAATGTAGAAAATCAATATTTCTCTGCCCTTGGTTCCTGTAAAAAATGACAGGCACCAAGGGCAGTAGGACCCAGGGGAAGCCCAGCAGGCTACAACAACATCAGGGCCCACCTGGCCCCCCCCCGGAGGCCCCAGCCAGGGTTTCTAGGCTAGGAGTATGGGAAGCTCAGGTAAGTGGGGGGTGAGGGGGACCCCGGGCAAGGAAGAAGCGGGGGGAGGGGGATAGCAGCCCCTCCCCACCCTCACCTGACTCATGCCCAGCGCTGCAGCCACTCACAGCCTGCCTAGTACTGCCTGTGCCTGCACAAGACAACCCCAAGCAGGCTATGAGCACCTGCAGCGTGGGGCACTGGGTGGGGCTGCTTCCCCCCACCCCTCGCTCAGCTTTTCCCTGGGCTCCTTCCCTGTGCGGAAAAAAAAGAGTGGCCCCTTGCCCGCCCCATGGCTGGTGCCCTGTGCTGCAGGCGCTCACAGCCCGTGCTGTCCGGAGCAGGCACAGGTAGCACCAGGCAGGCTGCGAGTGACTGCAGTGTGGGGCGCTGGCCATGGTGCGGGTGAGGGGCTGCTTTCTCCCCGCCCCCCAACACTCAGCACCAGCTTGTAACCTGGCCCCACTGCCAGGCTAACAGTAGGGCGGGTTACAAGCTGGTGCTGAGTGCAGGGAAAAGTGCCCCTCACCTGCCCCATGGTCAAGGCCCCACACTGCAGCCACCTGCAGTCCACACGAGGCTGCCTGTGCCTGCTCCAGACAGCCCTGTGTGGGCTGCGAGTGCCTGCAGCGTGAGGTGCCAGACATGGGGCAGGCGAGGGGCCACTTTTCCCCACGCTCAGCACCAGCTTCTTCCCTGCTGGCAAGCAGGGGTCGGGGCTGTGCGCTGCACTGGGTGTGAGCAGGTGGGGAGCCAGCAGGAGCACGGAGCCCGCACCAGTTTCCTGGGACCAGTGCCGGTGGGGCCCAGAGCAGGGTGGTAGGAGCGCGGGGTCCCAGCCAGCAGGGGCTCTATGGAGCCAGGCCA